TACAGTGTGTATATACCCACCCCATGCTCTGTGTCATTGTGTATATACCCACCCCATGCTCTGTGTTATTGTGTATATACCCCCCATGCTCTGTGTTATTGTGTATATACCCCCCCATGCTCTGTGTTATTGTGTATATACCCCCCCCATGCTCTGTGTTATTGTGTATATACCCCCCATGCTCTGTGTTATTGTGTATATACCCCCCCATGCTGTGTTATTGTGTATATACCCCCCCATGCTGTGTTATTGTGTATATACCCCCCCATGCTCTGTGTTATTGTGTATATACCCCCCATGCTCTGTGTTATTGTGTATATACCCCCCATGCTCTGTGTTATTGTGTATATACCACCCCATGCTGTGTGTTAGTATGTTTATACCCCATCAGTCTGTGTTACAGTGTGTATGGAGTCCTGTAGATCAGTGGTTAGAGCACTCGCTTTGCAATCGAGAGACCCGAGTTCAATTCCAGGCAGAGGGCGAAACCTTGGGCAAGTTTCCTTACTCCACACAGAGCCTAATAATAATCCCTCCAAAACCAAACAATAATAAATTGGTCATTTTCAATCTACGACTGTTTGTGGGGCACTGCTGTGCACAATTGGCTGCCGCGTTCGCCCACAAATATATACAGTCAATTCACTTTACAGTGTGTTCTGTGAAGCGCTTTGGGACATCCTCCTGACGTGAAAAGCGCTATATCAAATGCAAGGATTATTATTATTACGTACCCCCTATGCTCTGTGCTATTGTGTATATACCCTGTGTGACGGACATCCTCACGCTGTCCTGTGCTTTTTGTCCATCAGGTGACATGAGTTCCCGCCACTACAAGCCTGAGATACGTGTGAGTTGCCTTCGCTTCTCCCCCACTGGTACGTAGCATCAGACACCATTTACGCTGTCCGTCCCAGGTCAGCTACAGCACGAGTTAGAGACGAGTAAAGATCCCTCTGCACTGTCCGTTCACACTCCTGGGTCGGTGACACCACAGTTACTCTGCGCTCTGGGATGTTAGCCCGTGTGAGGGGCACCATATAAATGTTGTTGTTGTTGTCTGTAGGCCGGAGCTGGGCGGCCACCACATCAGAGGGGCTGCTGATTTTCTCTCTGGACGGATCCGTGGTCTTTGATCCGTTTGACCTGGACGAGGAGGTGACGCCGGTCAGCGTGCGCCGTACCGTGCAGCGGCAGGAATTCACCGCGGCCGTGGTCATGGCCTTCAGACTGAACGAGAACTGTCTGATCCTGGAGGTGCTGGAGAGTGTGCCCCACACCGAGAGTGAGTGGGGAGGGGTTGCGGGGGAAGGGGGGGGGCTAGAGATTGGGGCGGATCGTGTGAGATTGGGGTGGCGTGGGTGGGGTTTGTGTGGAGTTGGGGCAGGGCCTTATGGGTCTGGCGGGTGGCCTGTGGGGCGGGGCCTGGTGTGCTGAGTGGGGCTGTCAAGGTGGGGTGGATCTTTGGGACTGGGTGGGGCCTGTCAGGTTGGGGTGGGACCTGTGTAGATGGGTGGGGCCTGTGGTGCTGGGTGGGGCCTGTCAGGTTGGGGCGGGACCTGTGGGGCTGGGCGGGGCCTGTCAGGTTGGGGTGGGGGCTGGGCGGGGCCTGTGGGGCTGGGGCAGGTCTCTGACACTGTTCTGGGCTGCAGTTGGGGTGGTGGTGGCCTCGCTGCCCGCTGTGTACGTGGAGAAACTGCTGCTGTTCGTGGCCTCAGCGCTGGAGACCAGCCGTCACCTCGAGTTCTTCCTGCTCTGGGCCCAGAGGCTGCTCACACAGCACACACACACGCTGAAGAGCAGGTCAGTGTCCACGCTCACACACACACTGTCCACACACACACACACAGTGTCCACACTCACACGTACACACATACATATTGATGCTCAGTCTGTACAAACGTTTCACAGAAAATCGAATGAAATTCTCTTGCCCACAGGTCAGGCCAACTGCTCCCAACCATCCACGCTCTGCAGAAGAGCCTCCAGCAGCAATTTGACTCCGTTTCCAAGCTGTGAGTTATCAGACTTCTCTCTCTCTCTCTCTCTCTCTGTTCCTTGAACCATTCAACCTCATTTCCTTCTCCGTTTGGACAGTTGCACAGATGTCCCCTGGTACCTCGGTCAAGTGGCCATTGTGTGAGCATGATGGCGGGGGGTGGGGTATGGTTTGGTTAAGAGTGCTGCAGTGTCAGAGAAGGTCCCGTCTCCCTGTTGAGGCAGATTTTAAAGACTCAGCGGTGCTTCTTTAAATCTATTTTTGATCTAAAAAATGACTTGGCCTTGGGGATTTTTTAATCCCCAACACCGGGCCCATGATTAGCTGCTAATTGACGTGTTTCCCTGCTTGCGTATAAGGTTGCCGCTACCTCAACATAGATTTCCCACTCTTGTGCTGAATGAAAAAGTTCTCTCTTGCTCTCTGATGTCTCTCTTGCTGAGGAATTCCCACTCTCACCAAATTCCTTAACAGAATTCTCACTCTGTTCTACCTCACTCAGTTTCCTTCCTCTTGCTGCTGGGCTCTCTGCTCAAGTGAGGCTCTCCCAAGTCTTCTCCTTTATATGGGACTCATAAACAAAAGCACCCAGTTTCGACTGGTCATTCAGCAGATTTTTAATCCCTAAAACCTTCCACCTCACTCAGTTTCGTCCTCAAGCTGCTGCACTCTCTGCAGAAGAAGTAGATGGATATTTGGGGAGGACAAATTTACAAGGCTATGGGTAGAGTGCGGGTGAGTGGGACTAATTCGACAGCTATTTCAAAGAGCCGGCATGGTCACGATAGGCCGAATGGCCTCCTTCTGTGCGGTATAATTCTATTGGAAAATAAAAGGAAGTTTCTCTCTCCTGGTGCCCTGGACAACAATCTCCCAAATCAACACACCAAGTGAACAAAGTTTCACAAAATACACAGTCAAAAAAGAACTTCACACTTTGACAGACGTCTTGGCAAAGGGGAAGGAGCTATATCAAATGCAGGGATAATTATTATTTTATTCAGACGAGATTGCACTGTGGATTCCCTAACCTGTGCTTTTCTCTTGTAGGTGTGACTGGAATCGCTATAATATGCAGTACACACTGGCTCTATCACAGCAGCGGGGGCTGAAGCGCAGGGTGGAGCCCCCTGGGGGCAGCGAACAGGACTCAGACATGGACGGAAAGTGACTTTGAGTCTGGAGCGGCAGATTACAGCTTCCCTGGGACAGATGAGTTACCGCAAAACATGCAACAAATTTATTTAATATCACCAGCAACTTTTACTCTTGTTTCTAATCTGTGCTGTCGCTGACCTGGGAATGTGGACAGACAGCGTAGAGGGAACTTTACTCTTGTTTCTAATGCTGACCTGGGAGTTTGAATGGATACCAGAGGGAGCTTTACTGTGTCTCCTAACCCTGATCCAGGAGTGTGGACGGACAGTGTAGAGGAAGCTTTACTTCACCCCACTCTAACCCTAATCTGGGAGTGTGGACAGACAGTGAGTGGTTAAAATCCTCATATGTACATAATGTGTAATAAAGTGTTTCTGTTTTTATTTGTGTGTCTCATGACGTGTGATGTTTAACATGTTGGGGGCGATGTGTTTGTGTGTGTGTTGGGGGGTGGGGGCAGCAGTGTGTGTGCTGGTATGCATGTGGGGATGGTGGAGGTTGGGACAGATGCTGAACTGAATTCCTGACCCACTGGACCTCCTCTCGCAACAACCTACCACCACTCTCCTCCACAACTGTCCGTCTGTCACACTCGGTGCCCTTGCCCCCCACCCCCCCCCCCCCCCTCCTCCTTCACCTCCCGAACTGCCTCCCACTCCCGCAAATTCCCCGGTACACCAGCCACCTCAAGGTAGCAGGCGTGTGCCGCAAAACACATCGAGCTCAAATCCAAGTGCTTTTTAATACTGACTGTAACGTTAAACCTTGAGTTGCTCTTTTGCTCAGTATGTGGCGAAGCAATCTCCCGGGCCACTTACTGAGAGATCAGAGGCCACTGGTTTCTCGTCTCTGAGCAGGATACTCATTCAGCTCACGTATGCTCAGAATTACAAACAAAAGCTTAGCAGAGCCAAGCAGATCATTGATATGGAGAATGTTCAACCTAACATCACCTGCCTTTGGTGCAGTGTTCCGTCACTTCAAAACGTCTCATTTCTTTGAAGCAGCTGTGACAAATGACGAGGCAAACGCAGCAGCACAAATCGGGAGTAACACACGGCAGCAAAGTGGCTGATAAATTATGCTGGTCTGGGGGCGATTTCCTGGATTAAGGAAAAATATGGAGCAGGCAGGAAACGGGAGAAACTCTTTGCCCTTTCAGACAGCTGCATTGTTTACATGTTTCTTCCAGCACTTTTCTTGTCGTTTAAATCCATGAACCATCAACTGGTACTTTCCACGTCATGTCGTCACCTTCTCTTCTCCTTGGAACACATGGCCATCTGGGATGACTTGCCTTCCAGGCTGTGCCATGATGTGATCAATCTTACCTGGGGTACTGTTGGCCAGGACCTTTCTCTTCTCAAATAGTGCCATGGGATCTTTAATATCTCCCTGAACAGGCAAACAGGGCTTGGTTTAACATCTCATTTAAGGACAGCACCTCTGACAATGTAAAACCCACCCCAACCACCACTCCCCACACATGCTAAAATGTCGGCTTAGACTATCCTATTGCTGAAAATTTGTTCAACTTTACAGTTCATAATTTTTGTCTGACACAGGCAGAAACCCATCCCCGTGCGTAAGAGTCTCAAAATCAAACTGCAAACTCCATGCACAATCAGAGAGAGGGCAGAGCAGGGTTTGATGGGCAGACACACACAGAGGGCAGAGCAGGGTGTGATGGGCAGACAAGAAGATTACATTTGTATAGTCGGGAGGACGTTCCAAGGCGCTGAGAGAGGGCAGAGTAGGGTTTGATGGGCACACACACAGAGAGGGCAGAGCAGGGTTTTGATGGGCAGACGCACAGAGAGGGCAGAGCAGGGTTTTGATGGGCAGACAGACTCCGCACACAGAGCAGCTCGGCAACCAGCAGCTCGAGGCAGTCAAACGACACCCAACACTGCCCTTGTGTGGCTGCAGCTGGTCCTGCCACGTGCATCTCTCACCCGATATGAAGAACTTTCTACGTCTCTCGTAATCCAATACAATTTGCATTTATATCACCTCGGAGGATGTGTCAAAGCACTTATAAACTGCTGTGTGTGGAGGGAGAGAGAGGACTGCAAATGGAGTTGGGAGGTGTATCTCCCACCTATTGGGGCTGATTTCAATTCTGATTTCAGGCACACTCAAGAGAATGGGGAGAGTGGGTTTCAAGGCTTCTATTAAGGCGATGAAGCAATAAATCCGCAATGCTCAAAATGGGAAATCCCTTCTCCTTTTGAATAGTGCCGTGAGATCTTTTAATGTCCCCCCTGAACAGACGGCGTGGCCTCGGTTTAGCACGTCAAACAAACACCACCTCTGATAAGGCAGCGCTGTGGACTGAATGTACCGGCCAGCTCAGACCTCCAGAACAAGCCCACTGCCTGGCTGCTCAGGGGCAGCAATAATAATCTTTAAATTTGTTACATGTGGGTGAGGACAACTCAAAGCGCTCACACAGCGACTGCACTGTAAAATACCGTCAGTCTGTGTTGCTGCGATCAAAACATGTCCGCCACACGTTCCCTCTGCTCGGCGGACACTGGCCACACGTCATTCCCCCACATTTCCCACCCCAACATTGGTGGTCGGGCATTCAGCATATCTGCCCCCTCTCTGGAACTCTATCTGGAATTCCTCCACCTCATCCCCTCTCTTGCCTCCTTGAAGTCCCGTCTATAGACCTTCCTCTTCGACCGTGCATTTGGATCCCAACTCGGGTCCAAGACTCCTGATTGTCCAGCGCTGATGTGAAAGGCGCTATACAAGTGTAGTAACCTGTTGCTGTTGTTCATTCTGTGCTGAATGGCGTTATGTTTAAAAAGGTTTAATGTCTTTCCTCTACACAAAACTGCTATTTGTTTTTCATTGAGTGAAACCACCAACAAAATTGTTCAGAATTTCTTTAATTAAATTGTGCTCAAAATAAAATAACTGTCTCCCAGACCCGAATAATGCTCAGAGTGAATATAATTTCCACATCTTGCAAAGTGCACCTTCCTAGATTCAATTCCTCCAAATACACCAACTACACACCCCGATCAAGATTGACAATTCTCTAGCAGCTACACCCAACCTTTCAAGGATTAAGATTCAGCTTCTGCAGTAACAGAGTTAGGCTTTTTTTTTCTGGAAAGGTCAGTGAATTTCGGTTCCATTAACGACAGAGGTGGAGAGAGCGAAGTGGGGAAGAGAGATTAGAATTACTTTCATGCAAATTAGCTGGTTTATTCCAGTTTTGTTCCTGAATCGGTGAGTCCCAGGATATACTGAACAAATCAAAACAGGAGCCTCACCCTCCCAATCTATACAGACAGATACACAGCAGTATAGTATAGTATAGACTGAGACTTCCCCAGCTCATATACATAGCAGTGCAGACTGAAAACGCACATGCGCTCCACGTACACAGCAATCTCGCGTATAGACTCACCCCCGCATGGACACACAGTTTAACACACAACCCTGGCAAAGCTGGAATAGATTAAGCGGTGCGCCTGTAAATGCACTTCATTAATCATACAGAGCACAGATCGTGACCCACGTTTTAATGCTGACTGTAACCTTGCATTGATAGCTTTGACCTATTTAGAAGAACATTAGTCACATACAAAACACAGGGTGGTGAGTCGTAGTACTTAGTACATCAGTCACTACAAAAAAAAGCGTCTCACACGCAGCAGGGTGGCGGCAACTTCAGAGAGTTTTTGTTCTAAAAAAAAATCTGAAATCTAACATTTTAGCCATTTCCAAAGGAGTTTTGAAAGCCTCTCAACTTGGTCTGCACTTTGGTATTGTCATGCCCCTATTCCCAAACACAAATGCCACTTCTGGCTGTGGGGCCGTGTTAGAGTTAGTCGTTTAGTAAACCAAAGCAGTCACCATTTGTGGTTAAGGGGCACAAACCTGCAGCTGAGGCAGCCGGCCTAGGACCAACCTCAACATGTGCGCTATGCTTTGCAGACACAGTGTGCTAAGAGTGTGCTATACAGACACAGTGTGCTATGCAGACATAGTGTGCTGCGCACACTCAGTTTGTGCCGCATGTTGAGGATGGTTCTAGGTTGGCTGCCTTAGCTGCAGTTTGTTCAACTCACATTCAGGACCAAGCAGAGAGGACGGGCACAGAAGGGGACTTTTGGCTGGTGAAGTGAGGCACTAATCAGCCCTCAATGCGGGCTCAACAATCACACGGTGCAAGAGAACAAACACAGTCTTTCCTCTCCCAACCTCCCCACCCACACACACATTATAATGAGGTAGCCATTCCTCTCCCCCTCCCCCCCTTCCCAATCAACTCACTATATTTCAGGGCTTAAAGTGCCAGATTGGCAAAAAGGGTTTGTAAAAATAATTATTCCTAATCATTCCTGTCCTGGCCGACCATCTGGAACTCTGTTGGTATGGGAAGTCAGAGGAGGAATCAGTAGGGCAGGATTCCAAACAGTCAGCATGACAATCCAGCATTCAGTATTTACACATCCTTTTGCCAAACCTATCATTCCATTCCAATTAAGGCATCAAGTTAACTGCGAGGACACATTTTATACCCCTCACTAGGTCGAACACTTTATATCACATTTACCCCCCCCCCCCCCCCACTCCCAACCCCACGTTGCTTATCTATTCTAACGGCATAATTTCTTTGTAAAGGTGATGGCCATTGAGATGAGGTGGATTCTCGATTCCGGTCCCAGTCCCTCCAGCACTGCCAGGGTGGAAGTGGGTGTTCAATTTGAGTCATCTACATTTGCCAGTATAATTGCAGTTCTGCTGGGAAGGTAGACCTGAAGAAACAATACAAGAATGGGAATTAGCATGAGAGCACAGTGCATCAGAGAGGACTCAGTTTCCAGAGGCTCAAGTAGCTGCACATGACACCTTCTATTTGGAAACCCTTAAAAAATGTCAAACAATTGCTAGTCCGACTGGGTGTATTGTGGAAAGGGATTCCGTTTGTAAAGGCATAATTTCTAGATTAAAGTGATCTTAACAATCTCCAATCGCAAAGCTTCTGGCCAGTGAAAAGCTTTGGAGGTTTTGAGTTATTCCCAGTTCCCGACGGTTAGCGATTGTTGGATTTTGATTGTAATTGGTGAAAGGTTGCAGGTTATTTCTATAGCTAGCTACTCAGGGTACTTAGCACTTAGCCTCCATAAGTCTGTGCTGTGGGGAGGGAAACATGCAAGTGTCTGAGTTATTGCTGCCAGACAAAGCACATTCTAAACTAACAAGAGCCATGTATTTTACGTGCTAAAACAAGACCGATCACAAGACCTTTTCCACTAGACTCCCAGAGGCAGAACCCGATAGACAAGCTAACGAAAACAGCCCTAAAATGGAAGCAATTCCATAATTTAAGGACTTCTGACCTGAAAGCTCACCCTCGAGAAGCTGACCATGAGAAATCGCACTCTCATTCTCAACAAAGAACTGCAGCACGAATACTTTGGGCCTCAGCAATACTGAAGAGGCTGCAGGATGGGCATCACTCACAAAGGAATTTTTCAAGAAAAACCTTTGGTTGGAGGCTCTCATTCCTGGTTAATTGGGGCTGGGGTAAATAGTCAGTCTGTGTGTTGGGGTAAGGCTGGCTGCTCTGCTTTAGGCTTGATCCTAAAGCAGTCCCAGTGCTTCCCCAGCAGCCTCGAGAGCTCAAACAATCAACAACACGGCTCTGATCCTGACCACCTCTGGAGAGGAGTCACTACGTTTAACCTAACAACAGAGGGTGAGGGGAACCTCAAGGGAATGGGAAGAAAGCATTGGACATTTTTTCTGCCTTTATACAGCATGATGCAGAGGGCAGGCAGAAGAAGGAGGTTGCACGGTGATAATGGCAAAGGATTTCCTTTCAAATCTATGTCTGGGAGTAGAATTGTTTTACAAAATTGGGAAAACTAGATAAACAGCGAGCACTGGAAATGTACAGCATGATAGATTGCAGTGCAGACAGCACATCCAGCAGTCACTGGTTTGCACCTATTGAGTGACTATAGCACTGGTGAAAGCACGGCAGATTTGTTGCACTTATCACACTGTCAGCAGAGGTCAGGACTAAATGAATGTTTAGTAAAAGAATCAACATTTTCTCAAAGCCACTTCAACAGGAAGCCGAGCCTTCAAAAACCCAACTCAAGAGGGATTCATCCATCTGTTCACACGACACACTGGAGCACGAACTAACACACACATTAACCTATGACTGAACTGATTTGGATTACTCTCATCTGTAAGAGCATTTCACAAAGAATTTCACAGAGAGCCCATTCTATCTGAGCTCCAGAGTGCACCCTTATTGTCTCTCGACTCAAAGTTGATTGTCAAACCAAGCTGGGGTCAGACATGTAAGCTGTGATCTCCTACTGTTACAATATTAACACCAAGTCTAACAAATGTGCATCCAGTAAACAATGCCAGATCCCACAGGATCTTTCCCATTCCTTCTGTTTCCAATCTCTCCCCCACCCCCCCCCCTCCCCCAACCACTCAACATCCCCCCTTGCTGTGGCGTGCCAGGAGCAAGATACAGGAGTCACTCTTCGAGGTGAGCTGACTGATGACTTGTAGTCAGTCTGAGACCAGCTTTTACAAGGCACCATGTAGGATGGAACACACCACCATAGTTCTGGCCGGCACATTTCCACTAACCCACCCCTCATCACAAGCTCCAAACCACACCAGCACTTACCTTAAGAATATGAGGGATTATTCGCATGATATCAGTAGTGAGGAACTGAGGAAGGAAAAAGAAGGGAAATAAAGAAATGGGAAAAGGAGCAAACAGTAGGAAAACAGGAGTGAGGAAAAACAAGAGGGGCAGTCAATGTTTCAAAATGAGCAAATGTGCAAGTTAGAAGCACGGTAGAACAGGGAGAAAGTGCACAGCGCCAATAACTGAATAAGCAAACAAGAGCTGGAGAAAAAAAGCTGTGGGAGGAATGGGTTGGGAGGACACGTGTGTATGAATAGAGAATATTCTGTCTGGAACTCAAAAATCTTAGAATTTTACAGCACAGAAGGAGGCCATTCAGCCCATCATTGTGCCTGTGTCGGCTCTTTGAAAGAGCTACCAACTCGTCCCACTCCTTCGCTCTTACCCCATAGCAATTTTTTCGTTTTTAAGTACCTATCTAATTCCCTTTTGAAAGCTACTTTCAAATCTGCTTCCACCACCCTTCCACCATGCAGTGCATTCCAGCCCATAACAACTTCATCCCTTGCATTCAAAGCCCACCTTAAGACCTATCTTTTTGACTGTAGGAGGGAGACTGAAGAAGGGCAAACTAAAGCAATGGGAAACAAATTAGGAGTAAAATAACTCTCAAACTGACTGATTAAATGAATAAGTAAATTAGGGAAAGTTACTACTTTTTTATAATAAATACAGACAATGGGTGAAGACATTTTAAAAAATGGAAATTTTGATGTGTTTGGGGTCACAAATGAGTTGTTAATGACTTGGGAAAGTAGTGTTGAGGATATTTTTAGAGGACGGGAGAAACAGAAAAGTTAAGAGGAAATGGAACAGGAAGCAGGAGGGATGGCTGATGGGTTGGTCCATTCTTCACCCGTTGGAATCAATGCTTCTCATGATTTACAAGTTGTAAATGTATTCACCTGTCCTGCCATAGAACCTAACACATAGAACCACACAATGCTTTTAGCACAGAAGACCTCAGTTATACAGCATTGAGCAATACAGGCAATTAATTTCCTCCAATCTGAAGAGGACTGATTACACATTTGCAGAGAATATAGGCATTACTTTTTGACTCAGTCAGACATAACGATTGGATCAGGAACGCAAGCTTCTCTTAGTCATCAGCTACCATCTTGGATACTGCCAAATACAGGACAGATAAGAGGTGTGTAGTGGCCATTATGGCTTTGAAAGGATTCGGCATTCCCACTTTGGGAACCATGCAAGATGGAAAGAAAGTCCTAGGTTGCTATCTGATTCATGTCCCAAGGAGAAGAACTTGCATTCGATATAGCATCTAAAATCTCTTGCCTCTTCAGAGTAATTATTGTCAAGTGTAATTTTATACATAAGCCCCATACTCTAGGTTGACATTCCAATATAGTGGGGGAGCGCTGCATTGTTAGAGGTGCCGTCCTTTGGTTGAGACATTAAACTAAGGTCCCATCTGTTTGTTCAGGTGGGCGTTAAAGATCACATGGTATTATTTGAAAAGAGAAGGGAGTTTCTCTCTCCCACTGTCCCGGCCAACAATCCCCAAAATAAAATTTGTCACTCACTTCACGCTTGTTTGTGGGACATTGCTGATTGCACAATGGCTATACTGTTCGCCTGCAAAATACAGTCACTACACTTTACAGTAAAATCCTGCAAAGCACTTTAAGATGCCCTCCTGATGTGAACGGATCTATATCAAATGGAAGGAAATGGAAAACACAGACTCCTATATTGTCTTAAAGCTCTTTGCAGTAATCAGTGTCAACTATAGTAACTATTTGTTGTAGGCAAAACAGGCTAGGCTGCCACTGAAAATGTTCCCCTGGAAGCTGAAATACCAATCGCCTGGATGATGACAGATGCATGAGTGCTGCATCCACAGGAGAGGGTTTTAGGAACATTCTGTGGGCTGATAGGCGACTGAACAGAACAGAAGCCTCACGACTATGCACGTGAATTACAGGGAAACCCACATCAATTGGAATCCAGCCCGACACTCGTGCTGCCTGGGGCACGGATCCAGCAATTTCCTTCCTTTAGCAGCTCAGAAGCTTGTACAATCATTGGTCCCACAGTGGTCCAATGCCAGGAATCCTGTGGAGCGCCAGCTCCTAATGTAAAGTGTGTTCCAGAATCAAGTGTCTTGCTAGGCTGGAAACTGTCACCGAGGGCACCAAAAGGCAGGGCCACCATTGGCAACTGCATGTAATTATTTCTGCAAAGAACGTACTATTCAGCTGTGAGTATTTCTCCTGCTTCTGAAACAAAATGCCTACTGAATTGAAACAGGCATTTTGATTTGTATTCATTTATCACTTCACAAAATAAGGTCTTTGCCAGCAAGACATTATGGGGTGAATCAGCCTCAATTATACGTATGCACATGGTGGCAAACAGCAGCAGTGAGTCATTTCAAGACTTACTGTAATAAAGGGAAGGAGGATATTAAAGCACGCTGCGCTGTGTCTGCTGTGGTGCTGTGCAGTTCACAGGCAAATTGAATGTAAACTGCAGTTTCCCTGGAGTATAAAATACCAATGAGCTCGGAAGTCCATTTTGTGCAGAGCTGGCTGCATGGCTTTTGAACACCAGCGATGTCATTAGATGTCGCCACCAGACTGCAGAACCTTTCTCCCCTTTAATACTTATTTCCTCCCAGCACTGGAGTAATAGTGCCTGTACTCTACCTAGAAAGGCTACTGTGCATGTGTGATCCTTGGCAGCGAGTGTTGGTGGGGAGAGGAAAAGGGGCATCACAGCTACGCTCAATTGTACAATTGTACACACTAATTTTCTGGCAATCTTTGGCATGAAGTTCCAGCTAGTGTTCCATCCAGACCAAGGTGGTCCAAACTTTTGGCTGCCGTGGGACAGATTCCTATTTAAGAAAGGTCCACAGGCTGCATCCAGCGTGGGCCAGCTGGCGGAGAGAGAGGAGAGAGGGAGAGAGAGGAGGGGAGGAGAGGAGAGAGAGGAGGTGGGGGGGATTCCCACAAAAATTCTTTGTTATCTTATACTTTTAAGACTAAATGGACTGATGGGTGCAATTTCATATTTCAGCTCCAGAAAACCTGACAGAATTCTCTCTAAATAATTTTTGCCTTCGATAAAGCACCGACAATGTTGAAATGCCTCCAATAATAGTGCTTCACAGATAATTGCTGTCAAGTGAGGTGTCTGTAATCCAATATAGCAGCAATTTGTGCACAGTAAGATCCCACAACCAACCATGAAGTGAATGACAAATTTATCTAGAGGGTTGTTAGCCAAGACAACAAGGTGGGGGGGCAACGAGAACACCTTTCTCCTATAATATAGAGAGGGGGCCAGAGGTCAATTATAACTCCCACCTCTGTTCTGGGATGACAACCACTAACTCCACACAGATCGGCATTCAAACCTGTGACCTTCCAGTTTAGAGCAAATGGCTCCAGTGGAGAAACTGGCAGCATCTTGAGGCTTAATGGGCCAAATGGCCTCCTCCTGTGCTGTCACTTGTAGGATTCCATGAAAAACAGATGTCACCAATAAACAACACTGCCAAATGGCACCAGCGCTGATCAAACAGGAAATGAAAACGAACGCTTCCCGAAGGAGTGAGAGAGAAGTGTCTCTCTCCCGTCCCTCAGTTCCTTTCTCTTCAATCAATAAAAATCCATATCTCCATATCACTATTATTGCAGAAAAGTGAAAGGTCAACAGAAAATTGCCCTTTAATTATATAGAATCCATCAAGCTGTGCTGTGATAATTGCGAGTTGTCCTTCAAGCTTAAAGTTCAAGGTTGCACAATCCAGACACATAGAAAATAGCTGGAACCTGGTACTGGAGCAATAAAACATTCAAGAAAACATTTAATTGTATCTGGACAGGTTGCCTTAGTATCCACACAGCATCTCAGTCCATTCCTGACTGAGCAAATATTTTACTTTCCCTGATGTAAAACACAAAAATCTATTTTAAAAAAATCTGCCTTTATAATGCATTAACGTTAAAGTTACTGCTCTCTGGAAAGGTCCTCTGTACTTCTCCATGTCAAAAGAGGAATAGACTCTGGGGAAGAATGTCTGGTAAACTCGACCCGATGCTGCTGTCAGATTGACTGTTATCACTGGCTGCTGTTCTCCCTCCTCACTGAACCAGCCCTGGAGCTGTGTGGATACCCACTGGCACCGCAGTTAAAGTCAATGTTCAAATTGTCAGCACACCCTCATGACATCCCCTTGTTCAGTAAATGGAATCAAATAATAAAAAGCATCGAGAGAAGCAAAATAAGATCACATGTGGAGCTTGTTTCACTATAAGGCAATGGAAACTCTTCATTCCCGTGACCCAATCACCACATGCCTTAATATTCTTGCTTACCAAGTACCTAAGTGTGTCTCTCTCAATTGCTGAAATTAACTGCATCTGTGATGTCTGAGGCAATAACGATTTTCTTTTCTGGATTTTTCTTTGGTTTAATTTTAAGGTTACATCCTGTTGGCTAGTATAACCTTCCTCAGGTGGAAAATTCTGCCAGTGTAAATCTCCCGAATGCCATCTGCAGAGAGCAGACAATGCTACGCAAACGCAGCCAAGCAGAGGAACCTCTTCTTTTTTTACTTAACAAACCTTGGTTCTTAACTGCGTAAGCTACATCACAGACAGGCTCGTATTCCATTTGGCAATAACCTCCAAAAGTAAAATGGTAACTTTACTATGATTAGAAAAAGAATGGTCACCGTCACTCCTATATATTACAGTTTAAGATTTGTGATCTTTTAAACACTGAATACCTGTTGAATTTTAACTGAGACACAATAGAAATTGCCCACTGAAATGTAAAACAATGAGTATCTGGGACAGGAGGAGTGTATCACCTCAGAGTTGCAGAATTCCATCTTCTTTGGTCATCAAAAAATCTAATGTGAGAGTTAACCGAAACATGAGTATTGAGCTGAACTCTCTCCTCACCTAAAAAAAAACCCTGGAACTAACAAGAACAGAATCTCCTGAAACCATGGACTTACCATCACAGAACTGGCACGGTTATTATGCGGCATGGATTCAGTGAAGAATTCGGTTTTGTTGTCTAAGCGAGTGTGTCCACCGAATTCGCTCGCGTCCGTGTCCAGTACTATTTTATATCTGACGCAAACCAGTGAAGGAAAACAAAAAGATGCATACTCTCCGAGATCACACACAGCTCACAATATTCAACCAGTTTTTGAGCAAAAATTAGACAGCAATTGAGGTTTCCCAGTGTGAAAGCATGAGTGTAGAATGTTTGACATTATTCCAATTGTAGGTGAAAATGATCATAATAATCCTTGCATTTGATATAGCGCCTTTACTACGTCTTAAAGCTCTTCACAGAATATACTGTAAAGTGAATTTACTGTATATTTTGTAGGTGAAACATGGCAGCCAAGTGTGCTCAGCAGTGTTCCTCAAACAGTCATGGAGTGAGTGACCACATTTTTTTGTAAGGGACTATTACTCCTGGAAAGCAATCCACCAATCGACTAACAACCGGGTTCCTATTTACTGCTAGGTAAACAGGCATGTGGAGTAAGGAAACTCGCCTAATATTATTATTATTATGCCTAAGGTTTCACCCTGCCCAGGAATTGAACCCAAGTCTTCTTGCTTGCGAGGTGAGAGCTCCAACCAATAAGCTACAGAACTCCTTATTCAATTCATGACCAAATTATGCTCTGTAAGCATGCCTGATGAATTTTAGGGATATAGGAACAGAAAATGCTTCTGAGGTTCACTTGACAGGTCGAAAGCTGGATGGATAACGGACCCCTCTCTTTCATACTTCTCCATCGTTTCTTTCGACTCTTGGCTCAATTGGTAGCACTCGTGCCTGTGGGTCAAACTAGAGTTTTCACTTATATAACAACATCTTTCACTTTGGACGAATAATTCAAAACACTTCACAACTACTATAGGCATCACTGGGCAGGAAGGAAAGGAGCAGCGAATGAGTATAATGTGTTGAGCTCACCATTTAAACAGAAACAGATCAACAACGCAAACCTCATTACTGAAGGTTTGGAAGCCACTAATGATTTCTGATCAGACCTGGGTTAACATAGGTTATATTATTTCATGTTATAACTCTCATAGGGTAAATGCTCTGTGTTAACTCAGCCACTGATCCGTGCAGCACAGAGAAGTGCACCAGAGTCCAAAAGAATTGAAGAAACGTATTTTGAGTTAGCCACAGATTAAAATTCAGTGGAGGGATCTCTGAGTAGGACTTAGCACCAATTACAATTTAATGCCAGACACTACTTTGTAGGAACTTATGGCATATTTCAATTTATTTAAAACTGAGCAATTCTGGACCCGCTGAGAGCTACATCTCTCACAGTGGGAAAGTGAAGTGTGTAAGAGCAGCTTGCCTTACAACTCAGGGTCAAAAGTGTGCGTGGGTCTGTTGGGAGGGGTTAGAAATACATTATGTATGGATCTATCGTAACATTATAAAGTACGATTGCAGACAACTCTGGGCTCAAACAAACGCTGATCTGTACCTGTGTTGTCAAGGGGCACTTGAGTGGAGTGGCTTTGGTGATGACAGGGCAATTACTTCCAATAAAAGGAATTGAGTTTAAATGCACTGTAAGGAAGAAGAGTGTGCACTTCAACTGAATGCAGCTTGATTTCTTTCATCTTGCAAAAATGTGGCCTTAGCAAATAGCTGCATAGAAGAATATATCCATAATCCTGTCTCATAAGGCGTGGCCATTTTCCTTCTATAAGACGCCCCAGCCCGTGACAGCCAGATTTCAGAAGCTCCTCTCCAGTGTACGATTTGCAGGCAATTCTCTCCCAGCCCCATTTCTGAATCCACATTCCACCCAATAAAATGGAGGTACGCAATAGGTTTCAGGTTAACCTGCTCAACAAAGCCAGAAAAGTAAATTACTCTGAAATGTTAACAATCTGCACTTATAGAGTGCATGAGATGTCTAGAAGACGTGAAAAGCGCTGTATCAAATGCAAGGATAATAATAATAGTATCCCCAAGGAGAAAGTCTCACATGGATGGTGTGGAACACAAAGAAAGTTGGGAAGTAGGTGGATTGGGGGATGATGTCTGAAGGCATGGTTGAAGAGCAGAGTTATAAAGAGAGGGTGAGAGGAGGTGTTTTAGGACAGTTCAAGGATACAAGAGTGTAGTGGAAGCTCAGCTGACAACGGTGGGATGGAGAAGACAAGAACTGTGCTAGACTGTGTGGAGCAAAGGCAAGTTGTGGGAGCATGGGGCGGAAGTAAATTACAGGTGTAGAGTGCAGGTAGCAAAGGTAGAGATATCAGTAAAGCTCTCAGAATGCAATCACAGGTGAAATCACACCTGCCGACAGATAAAACTGTTTTTGGAAAAACAGAAGGGAAGATGAAAGCCAAATATTGTGAACATTTGGGTGTTCATCCAACAGAATTTATACTGGAGAGTTATAGCTTTCCAAGCCACTGGTGTACAATGATAGAAGTTCTGAGCAAACAAGTAGATCAATAACAAATTAAATACCAGGACTGTGGATATCCTTAATGGCATGTTACACTGGGACTGCTGGGCTAGCACACTAATACACACCAAAACACAACTGGAACTGTTTTGCTGGGCCACGGAGCCTGGTGCGGGAGACAACACGAGCTGCAGAGTTCTGGATGATCTGTAGCTTGTGGAGGGAAGACCGACAAGCAGGGAGTTGGTGTAGTCAAGCCTAGATGTTATAAATGTACACAGCACCAAGAGGTTATTTAATGAGTTTTTGGTGAATTTGGATGAAGCATTTGTCTTGAACACCAGGAAAAACTCCACGTCCTCCTTCCAAATAACACTGAGGATAATAATAATAAATAATCCTTGCATTTGATATAGTGCTTTTCATGTATTTTAGACGTCTCAAAGCGTTTCACAGAATATACTGTAAAGTGAATTGACTGTATATTTGTGGGCGAAACGCAGCAGCCAATTGTGCACAGCAGTGTCCAACAAACAGTCATGGATTGAGTGACCAAATTATTATTATTATTTTTTGAGGGATTATTATCAGGCATGTGAAGTAAGGAAACTTGCCCAAGGTTTCGCCCTCTGACAATTACCCTTCTCATTACTGTGTTGGGAGTGTCAGCTCCAATCACAGTTCAATTCATTTTCGATTAAGTTAATCAATGTTTCTATTTGATCACTGAATGGGTTGGGGGGAGAATTACAGCATTTGCAGTCATCCAAGATTGGGCGCAACCGTGAAAGACATCACCTCATTTATAGCTGCAAAGGATCTCTAACAAGTAAAGCAGCTTCAAAGCGATTTCAAGACAGCCCGTTTGGAAGCGAAGATCAGAAGCTGAAATGCAGATTTTGTACGCTCACAGAAGTTTTGGACAGAAAGTAAAGGGAATGATTGGGACACTGCAGCCTGGGGTTATTGATGAGGGAAAGCGTGTAATCAATGGCCAGATATCAGGGCAGTGCCACAGAGCTCCAGTTTCCAGCAATCTGGGCAGATTATTCCACACACACAGTCCAGAAAGAAAAANCTATACAGAGGCAATTTGTCAAATTCTCAATACAGCAGATTAGAGAGGATCTGCATTGCTGATGGGCTCAGAGGTGGAACTGCAATGTTGCCAAAATTCTTAGCAATGCACAGTACATAATTTTACTTCAGCACCATTTTGTGGAGGGATATGATCCAGATAGATAGCGAGAGTCCCCCACCATACACATTTATCTGTCTCTCTACTGTCTGTACAACAACCACCACAAATTACATTTGTATAGCTTCTGTCATGTCAGGAGAATATCCCAAAGTATGGCAATCAATAATCTAATTTAAAGCAATCTGACATTAATGTAGGAGGATCCTTTATCCATTTGTACAATCTAATTTGCATTCACATTGTACCTTTCACATCGGGAGGATGACTCAAAGTTTTGCTGGGGGAAAAGGAAGCAAATATCACAGAACAAGCAATCAAAGAGGTATGTCTTAAGATGGACTTTGAACGGGGGGATGAAGGAGGAAGGTAGTTGGGTGTAAATCTGGGATGGATTTCTAGCGAGTGGGGGCAGAATGGTTGAACGGCTGCCAGGGGAATGAGGAGCTGAAAGAGGATGGAGGTGATAAGGTAGTGCTGGAGAGGACACAGGCTGCAGAGTTCTGGATGGCTTGCAGTCTGTGTAGGGAGTAGCTGGGGAGTGAGTTGAGCAGGGAATTAGCGTTGTCAGGCCTGGATGTGATCTTGTCTTGAAGACTAGATTCACTGTTACAGATCTGAATGGTTTCACACCCACATAGTCAATGTTGATGAACCGTCTGGGAAAGCTAAGCTGCTCTGCAACAGTTCAGAATGTCTCCCTCAGGAACCTTAGCATTGTGTGTTACAAAGTAGAGGTTACATTAAATCCAATCATTAGATTTATAATCTATCAATAGATCTTCAGAAATTTGTTAAACTGATAGATGTTAAAGTACGGTGATCATTACCCAATGGAACATCATCTTTTGTTGCTCTGGTAATTCAAAATAAATGTTCACCATGAAAGAGGTCTTATTAGTGGATTAACCCCACTAAATAAATATTCTCAATTCACTACTACATACTTTATACTAAAAACTGAGACTATGACTTCAGTGGAAGGTGAGCATTATCACCACCAACGACTCATTCAGACGCACTGAGGTCAGCTGCAGAATGGCTGAGACACTGTGAATGGCTGGAGGGTAGGAAGTCCAACTTATCAACCTTGCACTATGGGCCTTGACTCTTCTCCAAGTTTCTCAGTAGATAAATTATCTTGTCTTGCTTGAAACTCCAATAGAATCACCTCAGACACAAATTATCTTCCTCCTCCAAATCTCTTTAGTGTGTTTCCACAAACCTATTATACTCTTGCAGGTCCTCCACGAAAGCTACCGGTGTATCTTGCTTCTTGCTCTGGACATTGTGTGTAGAAACACTGTTCATCAACAATGTGTGTGAAACTGATCAGATTGTAATGGTGACAATGCTGAGAAAGGGATAATCCTCCAATTATGCCAGATTCTCAAACTAGCTAATAAATGGTGGAGCGTCTATGTGGGGTGCATTACCTCACAACATCATACTGAAAGACGACCGAGGTCATGTAGTAGTTGTCTCATTGACATGCCAGCATTACCCTAAAATGACATTAATGTCATAAACCTATGAGATTATTAAGGGGCACGACAGAATAGATAGTGGGAGACGTTTTCCCCTGGTTGGAGAAACTATAACCAGGGGTCACAGTCTTAAAATTAGGGGTAAGCCCTTTCGCACTGAGTTGAGGAAAAACTTCTTCACTCAGAGGGTAGTGAATTGATGGAATTCTCTACCCCAAAGGGCTGTAGATGCTCAGTCCTTGAACATATTCAAGACTGAGATTGATAAGATTTCTTGTGGATAAAGGGATTAAAGGATATAGGGATAAGGCGGGTAGGTGGAGTTAGAATAGATCAGCCTTGATCTTATTGAATGGGGGCGCAGGCTAGAGGGGCCGAATGACCTACTCCTGCTCCTAGTTCTTATGTAGGAGGATCCTGTATCCATCTGTACAATACAATTTGCATTCACATTAAATTTTTTATGAACTGTTAAGTTTTTACTTCTTAGTTATCAAACTACAAAATACTGCAGTCCAGTTAAGTACTGAGTCCAGTTTAATAAAACAAAGGTGATTTTAAAGACAAGTAGCAGTAGCATTGACACACAATGAGCCGAATTCTGCATCTCTGTGCAGAAAACTTATTTGTCCATAAAATTCATCTCAGCGCACAATTATCCTCCTGCCTTTGCCTTGTATACAGATTCTGTCTACATCTCTAGTTCTACAGTACTGGAATCAGAGGAAGCTACGGTTGACAGGTGACACAAAGAGAATCTTGTTCTCTAAAGATGATGACATTCCCCAAGTAACTGCGCACTTACTCACAATGTAGGCCAGACTCTACAGGAAGTGCCTGTAGGAATGAAACCTCTTAACACAAGACTCCTGAAGGACAAAAGGCCGATCTTGCATCCGAGGGTTGCAAGTTTAAGCTTCAAGGCAGGACTTTGAACTCACATAATTGAGGCTGATCTATCAGGACTATTCAAAAACAGAAGAGTTTCCAGTGGGACACTGCTGTATGCAAATTGGCTGCCACATTTGCATTCAAAATACAGTCACTCCACTTTACAGTAAATCCTGTGAAGTGGTTTGGGACGTCCTCCTAACATGAAGGTGTTATATCAAATTCAAGGATTGTTTTTAGGATTATTACATTTTGTTGCTTATGATTTCATTATTATTGGTGATCAGAGAGTATCATGAAGAACATTCTCCACAGTGGATAGCGTGAGTAGCTGGGTAGTTGTGGCAAGAGGCAAGAGCGTACTTGATGAGCTCACTGTAATCTTTGGTACAAGATTTAGCAGAACCCAGATGATCACGCTACTGTAACATTAACTGCTGTTGACAGTTTAAATAGAAATAAATGGAGCAAGATTTTTTAAAAAATGATTAATTGTATAATTGTATAAGAAGGCACAGAACAAAGCCATTGAGTCCACTATAAATGGATCTACGATAAAACAGGGTCTGTTCTCAAGTAGTTACTGATACAGTTCTTTCTGGAAGAAGCTTATTAATGTTGAGTCAGCTATTCTCAATGTGAATTTTTTTNCTAAACAGCTATTTGATTTGCTTGTCCCCATTTTATTACAGTAAAGAGCAAATGCAAAACCAATTGAAATCAAATCTTCATTCACCTTTTTATGAACCCATATTCTATCTACATACCGAATCTTAACAAAGGACAGCTGAATACATAAGCTTTTAGGTTGTCTACAAAGTCAGCCTAACTGAAGATATTCAAGTTGTAAGGGCCTGCACACCAGTCACATATGTCACTGGCCTTATCTGTACACTAGTAGCTCGCAATTAAGTGCTAGAAGAGGCAGAAAGTTAGGTTTAATTTGAGCAACATTAGATGGGCAGAATGTTCTCATTCAAGGAAGCACCAAATGTCCTCTGAACCATAAGATTTAAAAGCCAATCTCAGTCCCAGAGCTTTATGGTTTGTGCTGATGTAAAAACAATCCTTTAGCAGCTAATACAGGAACTCAAGCATCAGAGATTCATCTCCCCTCCTCCCCTCCTCCTGCTCCCTGCTGTATGTAATTTTCACAGAGCACAACTTGCTCGAAAGCTGGATTGGTCCTGAACTCAGCGAGCACAAGAAAAAGAAATACAGGTGACATTAGAGCTGCTGAAAGCCTAGCATGAAAATAGAAAGGTGACGAATTGCTGCATGGATGGAGGGACTTCAATATGGGTCAGGTAGGGGTTTTGTAAATGACATGGAGACTGTTTTCAGGATGACAACCATTGAGATCAAGCAACTAAAGTAGAAAAAGCTGATAGCATTCCAAGGATACATTAAGAGAGCAAGCTGCAAGTGGGAGCTGATTTTAAAAGAGATAATTGCATTCTTCAGACTGGAGCAGAAAGCATGAACTATTTACTGAATGAATTGCCATCTATTATCAAAATGGAAAAGGAGTTGGGTGAAATTATGAACCACTATATTCCCCACAGTTCTTAGACAAATGAAACTATTGTTAAATGAAGCTAACACACTAGGGCACATTTGCAGATCAAGATATATGGAAGGCCACAAAATACACAGTCACTGCACCTGCTGAAATCCAGCCTACAATGACCTGTCACTCAACAACTGCAGGTAGAGCTGGCTTCACGACAGCTACTTCATTTTGCTAAAGCCACACATGAGGATCTGGATTACGCAGTTGTTCAGTAAACCTGGTATATGGCACTCGTAGCCTTCCGTCCCCATCTTGCGCCTTAAGAGCTTCCTCTTCAACTCTGCTTATGGTCACCACCCCCGAGCTTGGTGTCGTGCTACCCCACTGTCAAGCGCTCTGGGAACTACCCTGCGTGAGGGGCGCTATATAAACACAAGTTGTTTTTGAGACATAGATCCTTAGAGCATCAAGGTGGATGGTACATCACAACCTGTCCTGTAAAGGTCCGTCCGCTTGGGAAGACAACTGCTGAAGGATATTACCTGGTATCCTGAACACAAGCTCATGTATCCAGGGCTTGGCATCGACCATGATTGGTGGGGGGGGGGGGGCGAGGTGGGGGGAGGGAGGATTGCTACATTGTCAGATGTACTGTTTTATGGATGAGACGTTAAACCAAGGTCCCATTTCAGATTAGCATCAAAAAAATAATCCATTTGAGAAGGGAGTTTCCTGCAGATTAATTTCTCTGCCTTAAGTTACAGCTTCTCTAGATTGATTACAAAAAGTTTACAAAGTTTGGAAAAGCAGGAATGATTGTGGCTGGCACCAGCTGAGCTATTTACTGACATGTACTTTCTCAATTTTTAACCAGGTTGAAATGACTGCGGTGTGAAATGGAGCCCGATCCATCACGTCTGACTATAGAGTCAGCCATACTATTGATCACTGAAGTATAATCATTCTGTGCTCCAATAAGCACAGTTTTGCAAAGGAGATTTGGAGAACAGTCTGTCAATTCTAAAATTGGCAAAGCTGGTAATGAATACTAACAATCTGTGTGCTAAAATATATGAGTACAAGTGAAGCTTGCGCATGCTCCATTTGCACAGCAGAATGACCTCTCCATGACTTTAGCTCACTTTATAATATGCCAGGATAGTCTCAGGTTTCCTGAGCAACAGCTTGGATTTACACAGAGCATTGTATGTATTAGAAATGCCTAAAGCACTTTATAGAATCGGTACAACTAGAAATTCATTGAATGTTATTATGTAGCCAAATTTGGTAGCTATTTTAGACCGATAAAGACCCCAAACAGCGAAATCAGTAGCCTACTCTGGAAGGTGAGTTTGGTTGATAACTGCGAGAAAAGCATCTTCTTTCCTTGAAATAACAGTAGAAAGTAAACAGGAAATAAATCAGTTTCAAACCATCCCCACCCAAGCTGACCTTTCGAGTTGGCCAGAATTCCGGATTAATCTCTCCTTTTGGCCCACGGATCTAATCATCTCAGAACCATCTATTTTTAGCAGGCACGTCTCGCGCTCTGTGGGTAGGTTATTGATTGACGCTCAGTCAGCGATAACAAATGGATAGAATTAATGAACAGATCTCGGGAAAGACTTGAAATATTTATTCGCTATACAAATGGTAAACATGGCCAGAAGCGGGACATTAACCATTCCCTGCACTGATTCCCCCAAAGCTTATCAATAGTGATTTCTCGTAGGACATCTGTGAAGAGGCAGTGATTTGGGGTGGGTGGGAGAAGTAGCTTACCATACAGCAAGCTTAAGAACACCCCCTCAGCTGAGAGGTGGGATTCAATGTCTCTGAGTTAATGTCAATGTTCTATTTATGAAGAGAATTTTGCATATTAACAAAACATTCAATACTTTTTACATCTGAATGAAGACACACCCAGGCATTCGGGGCAGCTCAGTTTCACAGCCAAGCCCCATGGATTTCATGATAAGCCATATTTCAGGATGGTCATATTGACGAAATTGGTCTGATTTTACAAAGTGCTAAATTCAAACAGGTTCATGAGGTCTCAATCTTCCAGAATATCACCTCCCATCTCTGTTTGTTAAATTATTCCACTAACCTGCCTTCTAATAGTCTCCTGCTAACGCATTCCAAATGTTGATTCCTCTCCATCGATAAATATTTCCTGATATCTATCCTAAACTTGCCCTCCAATCCTGTTGCGGTGGAGAATCAGAACATATTGTTCAGGTTTACTTTCTCTGTCATATTAAAGCAACTTACATACCTTTATAAGGTCCCTTCTGAGCCACCTCATACGGTGAGTCACTTTCTTCAGGAACATAACTGTGTCAAAAAATAAACTGGATGCCAAATCTCAAAAGGATACTTCCCTGGTCGTTCGACTCCCACTCTGTAGTCCGTGAAACTTTTCTGGGAGTTGAAATTGAAGATAAAGAGAAGGTTGGCCCGCTCAAATGCAATCACCTTGTTACTTTCATGCTTCTCACTCACGTAAGCCTGGAAGGGGAGGAGTTGTATAAAAATGCGATAGGTTGTTATTAAAAGCACAGATGTACAAGTTTGAAAGAGTGATGCTTGCTTTCACTAGCGAGAGATGGTGGGCCTCCTTGCACAGTCTATCAGATTCGGCATACCAGCTGTAGCACTGCACTTGACTCATAGAAGCGAGAGACAGATATATCTGGATTGTAGTTCTCAATAAAAAGTGATTATTTTAGGGCAGCTGGGTGACACACGGAAACCCATCATCAAGCTTAACAGAAGCCAAACCAGATACAATCCCAAATATCTATATCACTTACCCATGGAAATCTCCCTGCATTTGGAATGGAATCTGCATTCTCTCTATGGAGGGCACTCTCTGCTTATGCAATTCTGCATGGTATTAGTCACAGGCTGATGAGAATCCCAAGGCTTGGGGACCCCTCACTCAGTATGCATTTGGGTGACTGCTGGACTTTAACCAACTAAAAACGAATAGCTTGTAAATGAGAGCAGTTTCTAGCAAGCTTTCCCATTGCTTCCTGCGAGGACAATCCTCTCCATTAGGGCTTTGGCTTGCATGGTTAACAGGAGTTAAGTGGGAAACAACCTTGCCCCCGGTGACTGGTCTGTCACTCCAAGTCCTGCTGATGCGCCAGACACGCTGGTCTGTCATCAGCAGTGTCCCGGAGCACTGCAGATGCACCTGGCTCAGAAACCAGACCACTGAGACAGCCAGAGGGTGGACTCAATTCCGACATTCTGTGGCCAAGCTCAGCTCCTTTTCCCTTTCCTTAAATTTGTGCCTCGTCATTCCTGACCACTGATCAGTGGAAAAATTTGTTACTTATTTATTAGTTATTAACCTGCCCCAAACCTTTGATCAATTTCAAACACTCAATCAGGTCACCTCTAGTTATTTTGCAAAAGCGCAAAAATGTGATGTTTAGAATCAATCCCGGGGAACAGACATTTTATGGAACCATGAGATTTAAATACTGTATAGTATTCACTGCTGCTGTTGCCGAGTAAGTCTGGGATAGTAACAGTTGTGTCAGTCATGCTTCTAAACGATTCAGAAAATATATCCTAACCATGATTTCCCACATCACAGCAAGAACCTCATCTTTACAAACATCTTCACAGCAAAGCAAAGTTGTGTCACGGTTGTTAACTCCCACCCATTCACATAATTACTGTTACTATAGTTACTCCCCCCCCCACCCCCTCCCCGCGCTCAGATAGCCCACCAATGTCACTGTAGGGAAGTGTGAGGTCATCCACCTAGGTGGCAAAAACAGTAGAGCAGATTACTTTTTTAGAAGGGGAGAGACTAGATAGTGTTAGCGTTCAGAGGGACTTGGGTGTCCTTGTACACCAGTCACAAAAAGTTAGTTTGCAGGTACAACAAGCAATTAGGAAGGCTAACGGTATGTTGGTATTTGTTACAAAAGGGTTAGAATATAAGAGTAGGGAAGTCTTGCTGCAACTGAATAGGGACCTGGTGAGACCGCACCTAGAGTATTGTGTGCAGTTTTGATCTCCTTATTTAAGAAAGGATGTACTCGCCTTGGAGGAGGTACAACGTAGATCACTAGGTTGGTAACTGGGACGAGGAGGATGAGTTATGAGGATAGGTTGAGCAATTTAGGCCTATAATCTCTAGAATATAGAAGAATGAGAGGTGATCTTATAGAAACCTATAAGATTATTAAGGGGCACAACAGAATAGATAGTGGGAGACTTCTTCCCCTGGTTGGAGAAACTATAACCAGGGGTCACAGTATTAAAATTAGGGATAAGCAATTTCGCACTGAGTTGAGGAAAAACTTCTTCACTCAGAGGGTAGTGAATTGATGGAATTCTCTACCCCAAAGGGCTGTAGATGCTCAGTCATTGAACATATTCAAGACTGAGATTGATAAGATTTCTTGTGGATAAAGGGATTAAAGGATATAGGGATAAGGCGGGTAGGTGGAGTTAAAATAGATCAGCCATGATTTATTGAATGGGGGCGCAGGCTAGAGGGGCCGAATGACCTACTCCTGCTCCTAATCCTTATGTTCTTATTATCTCCCCCCACTCACAACTCAACACTAGCGCAGATCATTGCCCTGCTCCCCCACTCTCACCACTATCGTCTCCCTCCTCTGAGACTGCTGAGGAGAACATTTGTGGATTGCTCAGTGGTCCAAACTGCATTGATGTTCAAGGCCAAGTATAATGGAGTAAAGCCACTATCTTCTGGGCAAAGTAGTTGCAGTTCAAGTGACGCGTAGTCTGTTTTACAGGCTAGTTCAGATGGAATTACAAATTGTTTCAGCTTCACTTATGACCCGTTCCATCGTATTAGTCTGGACAACACAATGCATCATGCATAGACACACAGACAATCACAACAATATGCCCACCACACCCATACGTACCGGTTGTGATGCAAGCCAGGCATATTTCTCTTCGGTCTTGTTCATGGCTCTGTCAAAAGTGTACAGGTATTTGTAGCGAAGGTTTGCATCATCCACAAGATTGAACTGACGCCGGGCGTAATGGTAGCTCTCGTTGTTTCCCTTTCTGGGGAAATCCAGCCACTCAGGGTGTCCAAACTCATTGCCTGGAATGAAGAATTGCGATTATTAATATTATAATAATAATCAATCCTTGCATTTGACATCTTCAAGACATCTCAAAGTGCTTGGATGGTGATAATGTCAGCGCCTGAGGTGCATATATTGTAAGATGAATTGACTGTACATTTTGTGGGCGAAACGCGGCAGCCAATTGCGCAAAGCAGTGGCCTACAAACAGCCGTGGATTGAGTGACCAATGTTTTTTTTTGAAGGAATTGTTACCCCCGGAAAAGTGATCCGCCAATTGACTAACAACCGAGTTCCTACTTACTGCTAGCTAAACAGAGGCGTGTGGAGTAAGAAAACTTGTCCAATGTTTCGCCTTGCCGGGAATCGAACCCAGGTCTCTCACTTGCAAGGCAAGTGCTCTAACCACTGAGCTACAGTGCTCCACGATTTTATTGAAACTTCACAAAATATCTCTCCTGTTCAAGCCAATTTCTCTCCTCAATTCAAAATATAGAAATGTCTGCAGGCAAGATGACCATTAATCATTATCAATAATACTTTGATAACCCTTACATTTGGATTATTGTGTGTGTGCCACAGCTAACTATTTTCCTCAGTTGATGATTACTCCCATTTTCTAGCTCTTTCTCCTCACCTTGTTACATGTCAATGCTCAGCTGATAATTTAGTTTGCTTTTGAATGTTTATTCCAATTCAACTGCTACTTGCAGTACTAAATTCCAAACCCAAACTAACCATTCAGTGAAGAAGTTCCTTCTCACCTTCAAGGAGTGGACTTGCAGTGAATTCATTAGATCTAGGACATTTTTGTTTTTGTAAAAAGGTGCCTATGAAATCATCCACGCACAGGGGACTGAGCTTGTGACAATGTTAGATAAACAGAAGGTGCAGTTTTAAAAAAGCAAACCTTTTAAATCAGACTTACAGGGTAACAAATTCAGCCAAAGATGGACCAAACAACTTTGTGCGTGTGGTGATGGAGGTGTAGGGAAGGGGGTGGATAAGACCCTTGTGAGCTGGTTGAGCGAGAGGCTGAGCGAACAAACAGTGGAGACATATTCACTGTGAAACATGCACCCACCACTGCATAGATTAGGCAGTTGGCCAGCAAGAGGTAAATACCTTGGGGCAGCTATAGTCCCACAAGGCTTGGAGCACAATGACATCCTTTGTGATTGTACTTCAGATGTTAACCAACACCTCTGGCAGCCTCAGTGAAGCTGCAGGGTGGCGCACATGAAAGTAAACTCCTGTAGATGGCATCCTTCGCTCAGTAATAAGCAGCTTTTGATCCAAAGCTCTCACAGCACAGTGCATCAGCTAGCTTTCAACAACCGGATGCTATTTTTTCCTCCTTATTTAGATCTTAAGTGGAATTAACAAGAGAGAACGTATTAAGGAATTTTATTCAACGTGATCATTATAGAAGGTAACTCTCGTTTAACTTTAAACTACCGGGAACTGCTCTCACTGGTGGAACACTCAGCAGGTCAGGCAGCATCTATGGAGAGAGGAAAATCAGGTAATATTTCAGGTCGATGATCTTTCGCCAGTGCAATCAGGTCAATGACCTGCAGTATCTTGCGTCAGTTACACGGATGGGTTCAGAGGAGATTCCCTTACGGTCCTTGATTTCCAGGTTTTAAACCAATTTGTCATTTATATATTGTTATATTTACAAAGTTCCTTCCACAGAAACTTGCTCCCTTTCCATAAGTAAATGGGGAAATCAAGGACCGTAAGGGAATCCCCTCTGAACCCATCCTCTTCCCAACACCTGTGTAACTGAGGCAAAATACTGCAGGTCTTCGACCTGATTGCACTGACAAAAGATCATCGACCTGAAAAGTGAACTGATTTTCCTCTCTCCATAGATGCTGCCTGACCTGCTGAGTGTTCCCAGCAACTTCTGTTTTTATATCGTGTAACTGGACCACTTCAAAATGCACAAATCATTTTTTCAGCCTTTGTTCCACTGGAAGGGGGAATAGATAAAATCTGCTCCTTCAATGGGTCAAATAACGAGGGTGGGGGTACACTTCTCTCCAATGGAAGGAGCATGCCTCTGTCTTAGGGTGGGAGCGGTGGTGGGGAGAGTAGGTTTTTCACCATTTTCATCCGCGACTGTTTGTGGGACACTGTTGTGCGCAATTGGCTGTCGCGTTTCACCCACAAATATACGATCAATTCACTTTACAGCATATTCTGTGAAGCACTTTGAGAAGACGTGAAAAGCGCTATATCAAATATAAGGATTATTATTATTATTATTAAACCAAAACAGGCCAAAGCAGAACTGAAATGTTTGGGATGTGTGCAAGACTGCAGTCCCTTTTGGCAATGCATTATTGACACGTGTCACACTATCCACATGCAGACAGTTTCAATAAATTTGGTATTTCAGACTGCTGTATATGAATTAATTCCTATTAACCCCTGGCACTGGATAAATTATTTCCAAGATACACCAAAACTATTGTTATTAAAAGCTATTCAAAACATTAGCATCTGAAGTATTATTTGCACATTTAAGCAATAACTTGTTCCTCGTTTTAAAGCAATTAAATTATTCTGCCTGGCGTGAGGGGGCTTGGGGCGGGGTGCTGAGGCTCTCTGTGGTACAATGTAAAGACGTAAAAAAGCTTAAAGGTAGTGCTGTCCTTCATTGACCAAAATTATTTCTAATGCCTTCATCATCTTGATTAGCAAATATTAAAGTGACACAGTAATTTAGTGACTCTCATTCATCTCAGTGATTTAGGAGAACAGCATCAACGAACTCATGCTAACACGAATACATACTCCAACAATGAGCAGTCGGTCGGCAGTGACGAGAGCGAACAAATTGAAGATAATCACAGAAATAAAATAAAGGAGAACTGAGGAAAAAAGGCTCTGCAGTGGGTGGGTGGAATATGAATTCTCTGTCACGCACAACTGTTGAAGCAGAGTCCATCAATTCTTCTCAAAGGGAATGAGATATTATTCTTGAATAAAGAAGAATATCGAAGGTATGGAAAGCAAGTAGCATCGTGGGATAAAGATTAAGTGGAGAAAAATAACAGGCCGAAAATAAAATAAGAGTTGGGCTGAAAGGCTTGTTTTTGTGCTGTAACATTCTATGATTTTATGTTACTAATGTAGATTGTGATTATGCCACAGTCCAGCATAGTTAAGCAGGGTCTCCTTGTAGTTGAACTGGCTCCAAGGTGACATGCCTGGCAATGGAATGTGAGCTATTTTCACATTGCAAGTATAATAATAATAATCCTTGCATTTTGATATAGCGCTTTTCACGTCGGGAGGACGTCCCAAAGCGCTTCACAGAACACACTGCAAAATGAATTGACTGTATATTTGTGGGCGAACGCGGCAGCCAATTGCGCACAGCAATGTCCCACAAACAGCTGTAGATTGAAAATGACCAATTTATTATTGTTTTTCTTTGGTTTTCGAGGCATTATTATTAGGCTCTGTGTGGAGTAAGGAAACTTGCCCAAGGTTTCGCCCTGCCTGGAATTGAACTCAGGTCTCTCGCTTGCAAAGCGAGTGCTCTAACCACTGAGCTACAGGACTCCACTAATGCCAAGATCATGCTCTCTTCTGTAATTAGAAATAAATGTGGGGCATAAATCTACAATGAGCTGAATTAGAGTAGGCAGATTTGGTAGCAGTGGCTGATGTGTCAGTGTCACTATCCAGCAAATATGTATTCAAGTCTACAGAAATGATGCTGAGGCTTCACAATGCATTAGTCAGAAAACAGTATTGGGTTCTGGTCACCAGTCCTCTAACAAGATTGTCTTGCATTAGGAAGACAATAAAAAAGCAAGAAGATTTATCCCAAGTGTAAAGCTGTGGAAAAAAAATAAAGAGAAACTTGGGATTTACAGTTTGGTAAGAAGATAGCAAACAAGAGACCTCATCTAAAGCATCTAAAATATTTAATGGTGCAGAGCCAATGTCAACTTTCTTCAGTTGAACGTCAACAAGACCGAGGCCCTCCTAATTGGCTCCTATTAGCGCCTTCACACCTCAGGCGCTGACAGCCTCACCATCCAAGGAAGCATACTACTAAGCCAATCTGGAACCATGGCGTCTTGTTTGACCCTCAACTATCCTTTCTACCTCTTCCATGACACGCTCTGCTTTCCCCCACCTGCAATATCGCCCGGCTCCGACACTGTCTCACATCTCAGCCCGCCGAAACCCTCATACACGCAGTCATAACATCCAGGGTTAACTATGCAAACTCCCTCTTGTTGGCCTCCCCAACTCCTCCCTCCATAGGCTGCAGATCATCCAGAACTCTGAAGCACGTGTTCTCTCCCGCACTAGGCTCCGTGACCCTTCCACCCCCATCCTCGTCCGACTCCACTGGCTTCCCATCAAACAGAGGATACAGTTCAAGATCCTGGTCCTTACCTTCAAAGCCCTCTATGGCCTCACTCACCCCTACCTGTGAGACCTCCTAACCCCTTACATACTTGCCCGCTCTCTCCGCTCAGCGGACTCTGACCTGCTTCATGTCCCCTGCCTCATTCACCCCACCACTGGTGGACAGACCTTCAGCCACTCTGCCCCTATCCTCTGGAACTCCATCCCTAAGTCCCTCCACCTTGTCCCCTCCCTTGCCTCCTTCAAGACCCATCTCAAGACTCTCCTCTTCGACTGTGCTTTCGATCACCCTCCTTCACCCCCTACCCTCCACCCACCCCAATCCTGACTCCCAGCTCAGATGCAAAACACTGACTGTCCAGCACCATGGGACATCCTCCCTTTACAAATGTAATATTGTTGTTGTTAACTCAGATCATTACTTCAAAGTAAAGGATACACATAGGACTAGGGACATTAATGGGAATTAGGGAAAAGAAAATTTAGATCAGACATCAGTAAAAACTTCTTTACTTAAAGGAGGGATAAGATGCTTGTAATTTCCATCAAATTAGCTAATGGAGATGGCAACAGTGGGCTTTATTCACAGTAAAACTGGATGGTGTGACAGGGAGAT